TATTCAAATAATTTGAACGCTAGAATTTGACTAACAATAAAATAACTATTTCGAATAATTTCTATATTTTAGTATCCAGATATGTTTTACAATTCTACTTTGTGTGTACAAATTATAACTCTAATACAAATGTGTACATTACATACGACGTTATACAGCACATGAATAAATTTACATATTAATATAAAGACCATCAGAGAGCATATAATAAGAGTTTAGTTACACGACAATATCAGATTTACTAGTAAGTAATTATTAAAACGATTAGTAAATTATACATTTATAAAGAAGTTAATGTCTAATTAATAAGAGATCGCATTTTGTTGTTACGTAACGTAAAGCGATCTTACTAATTATTCGTCAAATGCGCTTGTTTGATATATTTCATTATCCAAATCACAACAGTTGCTGGTGTTACATCCTATTTGGCATCCAGATTTGGTGAGACATCCTAGATCCTTGTTGTCCGCTATGATTAGATCTGTATATTTATACATAGAGTAATTAAAAATCGAAAGACAAATGTCATTTCTCTCTCTCTTTCTCTCTCTAGCAGCGCCAAGTTTTTTGACAAGAAAAATTTATGTATTTTAATAAAATATTTTTATTTTTTGTACTGTTACCTCTGTAATTTTTTGCGATGCGATTAAATCTTTTAAAATACATATGTAAACTTTGTATTTAAATACCTTGTATTCCCTTGTTGGGTTTAAATATTTTAATAAAATATTTGTATTTTGTACTGTTACCTCTGTGTAATTCTTCATGATTCAATCTTTTATTCTAATCGAAGAAAAGCAGTGGTAATATTATACCTCGAAAAAATCTAAGTAACAAGTGGTAGACGTAATCTTTGTATCTCGAAAAATATGTTCTCTGTAATTGGCGCTGTAATTTAAAAAGAGATATCATTTCTTTTTTGTAATTGTAATAATAGATCACTTGAATCGCGACTCATTTTTGATAAGGTAACGTAATTTTGTGATGTGTCGTATCACTTGAGTTATAATTTTTTGGAAATAAAAATACTACTGCTTAGGTTTTTCGAGATTTTTGGAGATACAAAGATTACGTCTACCACTTGTTACTTAGGTTTTTTCGAGGTATAATACTACCACTATTTTTTTCGAGGTTAATAGATACAAGGTTCAGAGAGAGAATGGAAATTTTTTTCTTTACTCATAACATCCCAGTAAGCAAGGAACATTAAATTAACGTTTAGAAATATTGACTTTATGTGTATTTTTTAAACGTTTTTTAATAATATTATACACATATTTGAAAAATATTATTTTGTAATATGATTTTTTTGTAATGTTAAAATATGTTAAAAACGTTTCAAAAAATATTTTTCAAATGTTACTCTGACATTTATTTGAGATCAATGCAACAGTTCAAAATTCCTTGTAATTTGGACTTAAAAATAACGTTGGTAGTATATTAATTTTCTGTTGTTATAATATTATTGTTTTATATTGTGCGCAACTCTTATCGCGACAGCCATAATGTACATTATCCTACATATGATACTTGAGTGCGTATACACTCGTGTGGATCGAGCAGTGCGGAGTGCTCTTTATTTACAGTATATTTATAAGTAACTATTATATTCTAAAAGTTATATATTAATAATAAGAATTATGTTTCTTTAACTTGCCTCAAATGGGGACAAATTTTACACGAAGTGGACATGCTGGGCGAAGTACTAAGTCAGCCTGTAGCCTCAGATTCTTTAAATAATCGATGGGCTCTAAATAATAACTCTGTATCAGAGGAACTATTAAAGCCTTTATTTGTAGATAGGCGTATTGCTGGCCTAGAATTTGATTGATGTATATTTTTTGCGACTTAATATAATCATATAAGAAGATATTTAAAAAATCCTAGTTTACCTAGACAATTACGCGATCCAGCACTAAATGGTATATGAGAATAGCAATGATGATTTCGTTTCCTCTCTGGCAAAAATCTATCGGGATCAAATATCTCAGGATTTGGCCAAAAATTAGGATCCCTGTGTACTCCATATATGTTAAGGACCAGAGTTGTTCCCGCCGGTACTAAATATGACTCTAAAAAATATATTATAATCAAAATACAATAAATAAATAATAATAATAACTTTATTATAAACTGAAAAACATATCATGCAACATGTAATAAATATTTTAGATACATACGTAATTTAACGTCTTCCCCAGCAACTCGCGATATTAAAAATACGCTCGGATACAGACGCAAAGTTTCTTGGATGCATCTATGTAAATATTTTAAATTGTCTAATAATTCTTTATTAAATTGATGTCTATTTTCTTTAAAAGCAGTTTCCACTTCTTTTCTGACACGATCCTGTAAATATTAATAATATTAATTAAAATTTTTATATGCAAATATTATATATATATAATAAGTACCTGACGTCTGTCTGTCTGTCTATCTGTCTGTCTCACCGCGAACTACTCATTCATTAATGAACCGATTTTCTCAAAACCGGTGCCAAAATTTGTCTAATTTTTCGGGGATGCCGACAATGTGTATAATTTTTCATTACCAATTTTTTTAAAATCTAACCTGTTTTAAAATTTTTTTAAATACATTGTGAAAAGTAATCTTTGGCTACAAAATTTATAAGGGCATTTTTGGTCCACGTTGCTTATACAGTAACACTACCCAAATGTAAATCGCCGATTTTGCTAATTTTTGAATATGTTATAGTAGACGTAAAAATAAGACATACGTATTTTTTTTTATCGGCGGAAAACCATATTTACAATTTACACCCCTTTGAAATCCTCAAACAGTCTCACTTTTGTTTTGGATGCGAGTGTAACATATATTTTTTTCAAAATTTTTGAATAAAATTTGCAATTATCTGGGCATTTTTTAAATTTTTGTTTCAAATACAGGGGGTGGTTTACCCCCTAAAAATGATCGAATCGAGTCGAAAATTTTTCATTTTTTATATCTCTTGATGATGCAACTATTTTATTTGGTTCGGGCCGAAAATACTAAATCCTTTATATACAAAACAATTAAATCAATACCCATAAATTCAAAGGGGTGTAAATATGGTTTTCCATATTCAAAAATTATCAAAATCGGCGATTTGCATTTGGGTAGTGTTACTTGTTAGACCGTAGTCCACTAGAGCATGTAAACATGGAATTTATTTTCCGAAAGCTACGCCCTCCGTGCAAGATAGGCTCTTGTGCGGAACAAACTGGGCTCCGTCTTTCGGAAATAAAGAGACGTTAAGCCGATGGTCCAAAGGGTTAAGTGAGAG